ATATATATATATATATATATATAAACCAGTGATCAATAAGTTTTTTTTTACTAAATATGTCTAAAAGCCAAACAGGAATAACAAAATGTAGATTTCTAAACCAACTCTACAAAACAATGTATTTTCTTTGATAACTATTCCATCTACAATTTACAGGAAGTTTATTGATGATAAATTTTGTAGTTTTGATTATTAGCCTTTTCCTAACTGGCACTGTCTTAGATAAAAAAAAAAAGCCTCAATAGATTATAAGAAAGAAAAAATTACATTATGACAATGAGTTCATTCTAAATATAAATTATTAAATCAATAAAATTATCAGTAATGTATTTCTAAATTCAAGTCAACTAAGAAACTAAAGTACTAAATAGAAAAAATGGAGATGAAAGAAATAGTCTTCTGCAAACTAACATTATTTTACCTTACAGAAACTGGATCTTTAATGTAATACTTTTAAAAATTATCCATTCCTCATGCTTTGAAAAATCATATATCTCCGTATTTCTGATGCTCTTTAGATCCATTACTATTTACTTTAAACTCTATAACTGGTTTGTTCTTCTTTGTTTCTGTGATACATGTTGTTACTAATCAGTGAATATTTAATTGATAACTTTGCACTTGGCAAATTGAAAGGAAGTTCTTTGTTACCCAATGTACAAACTTTAATACTGTTTGTTAATATTGTAATATTATATTCAATTCTAAATCTTTACACATCTCTCTATATACACATATAAGCACAACAACAGTATTTAGTATATGTTATGAAAACTGAAATTATACAGTCAAATGGCTCAAATAAAAAATGCAATACAATACAAGATCAACTAATTTACCTGATCAACCATTAATAGTTCTTTAACTACTACTTTAGACACAATGCTCTTGATCTGTAATCCAAACAGGTCAGGACAGTGGTATGCTATGTGACCAATTGAAACAACAGAAGTCCTGAAGTAATGAGACTGCAGGGTCAGATTCTGTTTCAAGTGCTGGAAAAACAAAAATACACAAGGTTGATTATAGTGTTATTTTTACTCATTTGAAACACGTTAAAAGACAACAGGGTTGGAGGTCACAAAGTACAGGGTTAGTATGCTTTATTATGACACTCATATTTAAGACACTTAACATTCTACATCAGTGTTTCCCAATCTTTTTTCGCTGCAGTGCCCCTTCAACAATGAGCACTCGTGCCCCCTTCTAATAAATTTTTAGACCATTAAAATATTTTACTAAAATCAAAATTGTAAGGCAATAATTGTCAATTCTTGTGGTTTAATTTTAACAAATATAACCATCAAAACTTTTCTTTCTGCCCCCTGCCACACCCTCAAAGTTTACTGCCCCTCCCCCAAAATTCAAAAACACCCACTAGTGGCGGTACTGCCCAGGTTGGGAAACACTGTTCTATAAGGTTTAGGTGGTATTGGGAAGGGGGGGGATTCACATGTGGAAGAACAATCTAAAAAAAGGTATCTATCCTGATATTATGAGTTTGAAAAGTTACCAATCTTAATTTGGACTAAAACACACTTGTGATACTTAAGCTAACAATCAAAGTGAACATTTATATTTATACCAAAAATGACAGTAGTATTTCTAGAAAACACAATTTTTACAAAATTCATCATATAAGTTAGAGTAAAATTTATAAAACCTAAAAGCAATTAAACCAGGGCTACTAGAAATCATTCTGATCCAACAAAAAATGCATAACAATGAACATCTTAATCATAACTACATATTAAACCTACACACACTGCAAACTAATACAAAAAATACTCAATATTGGAAATAAAGTAGAAAATCAGTCCTATCAAATATTAGTTAAATAAAAAGCTTGAAGTATGAGTGTAAAGTCACAGTTTATTTGAATAGATTTCACAACAAATTCACACACTGCTGATGCTTTTTAACTATGAAAATGAAGAAGACAACAAACATCGGGAGAAAACCATTTCAATCAGTGGACTTTCAATAAAGTTTCCAGCTAGACCATCAAATCATTATCATTTTTCATGATAATATCATATCAATATAAAAAAACACGTCTCAGAGTGTATTAATAGAAATAAAAGGTAAACTTACATATCATATCAATATAAAAAAAACGTCTCAGAGTGTATTAATAGAAATAAAAGGTAAACTTACATAACATATCAATATAAAAAACACGTCTCAGAGTGTATTAATAGAAATAAAAGGTAAACTTACATAACATATCAATATAAAAAAAACGTCTCAGAGTGTATTAATAGAAATAAAAGGTAAACTTACATAACATATCAATATAAAAAAATGCCTCAGAGTGTATTAATATAAATAAAAGGTAAACTTACATCAAGAATTTGCCCAAACACTCTTTCTTTATTGGATGCAATAACCTTTATGCAGGCTACTGCATGTTTGGCTTGTTTTACTGTTCCATTTTCTACAAAATTCTGAATAATGGGTAGAACACGCCTGTAAGAACAAAGACATTCGATTACAAAAGTGACCTAACTTAACACACAAGAACAGAGCGAAATTAAACAAATGACCCAAATTAATATTCTTCTGTAGATTAAGGTATTTCCTAAACATTTAAGAAACACAAGACTACCAGATAGTAAAATGATAAAGTATAAATAAAAGTGTTTACATACGTGGCAATGTTTGGATGATTAGCTTCAATTTCAGGTCCAATGTTAATTAATATCTGAAGGGTAATATCAGTAGCTACTTCATCCTCTATCGTCAAAAAATTTATCAATTCATTGCTAACCTCATCACTGTAAAATGCTCCAGGGAAGACATAAGTTAAGGTCTGAAAAACAAATACACCAATGAAACAGCTAAAAATGTAACCACAATTATTAACCCATAAAACAGATAAGATCTAAACGACAAATTTTGTTTAAGCTGTCAAACTATTAAAGCAGTTGATCTCTTGCTTCTGCAATATCCATAAATTTCTTTCAAGATTAGTTTTCTTTTCTTGGATTTCTATACACTTATATAAGCTTCATCTTTATTTCTGAATTACCACTAATATATAAAACATATGCAGTACTGACAACACAAATAACATATGGCTAACATAAGCTGCTCAGCACTGAAATACTTGTTCATAAAAGTCAAAGAATTAAAGTAGATTCTTTGATGTACAGCTGTACTAATTATTTGACTGTATTAAGGTGATCGATCCGTGTAGGTTTCAGAAATTTGTTGTGTTACCAATTTTTAAACTGAATGTTTGTTTGTTTGTAATTAAGCACAAAGCTACACAATGGGCTATCTGTGCTCTGCCCACCACGGGTATCGAAACCCAGATTCTAGCGTTGTAAGTCTGCGGACATACCGCTGTGCCACTGGAGGGCTAAACCGAATGTTCGTCTGAGTACAGTTCATCAGATGATAGGGGTGTGGGATACATTAAGCACAATTTTCTTGAGTTTATGCATATATCTCCACCCCCACCACCCTTCTCGGTGACTAGAACTAATGTAGTTCTTATCCATTTTCACACTCAGCATGATAATTATTACAAGTGGGAATTTAAAAACATTAAATTATGAATTATTAAAAAACAGCAAATTAAGTGACTAATTTGTGAAGACTGTATTCACATGCTTAGTGGCATTAAAGAACTTTCAATAGGTAACATGTACATTAATCATATTTCACAGTTTACATCCTATTATTCAAGGTAGCTCAAATTAGACAACTGTATCATTTCTAATAACTCTCTTCTTAACAGTTTTGAAAGTGGAATATAAGTATGTATAATGTATCTGATGTCTGCTTTCTTTTTTCACAAGTATTTCTATAAATACTTAACAAAAATACTAAATCAACTTCCTAAATAGGAGATTATGTAAATAAACTAATTACTTACATGCTACTGTAGTAAATCAAAAACAATTTCAGAAAGACTTTTAACAAACACAAGCTAAATATTTAACAAAAAATTATAACCAATAGAGAAATTTTAAAATTACCGCAACATGAACCACTTAAAATTACATATAAATAATACAACTACAAGAGTGGTCTTAAAACTATTTTATGAAACTGTAAAACGTTAAGCCTAATAATCTTGTATTAAAAAATGCACCATCTATGAAAGCATTATAAAGATTTTATTCCATGAAATCCTCAATAACAAAAAAAGTGTCAGAAATGGTGCAATATACATTTAAAAATACACCTACATGAAGTAGCTGAAGTCCACGGTGTCCAGAATTTACCAGACCTAGCTGAGCATCAATGTTCCCCACCCCTAGAATGGTATCCTGCACATACATAATCAACTGCTTCACTCCCTGATGATCAATCATGACTGGTGCAACTCGCTCTAACAACTGCTTTATAGTCATGTAAAAGGTATTTGTCTGGACAGGGAATCCTAATGACTTCATGACTTCTTTCTGAAATATTATACACAACACAAACTGTAAACTTAGCTCGATTACAATACTAGTTAGCATGTTTATTGCACAAATGTTCAAATTAAACATCACCCAGTTTACAAATATTAGTTGTTTGAAACAAAAGGACTTCCTGCTAAAATAATTAAACTATAACACTGCAACATGTAATTTTATCGCAATAGTTGCTAAATATGGCATACTACACAACACAGTACCTTAACATAACAATGTTAACATTCAAGTTCTGGATTTTGTTATACTTTTTTGAAATGATTGATCTAGATATAACCTATATTTCACAGGGTATTCTTTTACTGTTCTATTACATTTACAATTTTAGTTTTCAAATGCTTTTAATAATAAAAAACAAAAATTTTTGTTGACTCAGAATCAAATAATGCAAATACTTCTTGATTTGTAAAAATATCCACCTTCTTCTGCAGGGTTCAAGGGCCCCCCTCATGATTCACAGAGACTCCAATGCATCATTCAAGCTCCTCCAATCCCTAATTACTTCTATAGCTATGCAAAGAAGGGTCCATAACATAAACAACATGCTAAGAAACGCCTGTGGTACCAAAACAAGTGCACCAAATATAGTCCCACCAGCTTGTAAGTAGGGGTGTGTTTGTTTTTGTTTGTTTTTGAATTTCGCGCAAAGCTACACGAGGGC